CGGAAGGCATTGATATCAATACACAGTTTGACAACCGGGTGAAATCCCCGTCGGATCCGAACCGTCTCCGCAGACAGATCCTGTGCAAATGTGATCTTGGCCCCATCATGTGTAATTTGTTGTTTTCTTGCTTCCCGATATACCAGTTCCTTCTCTTGGAATTTTAAGAAATGAACAAGCACCGCTCTGCTCTGGTTTGGTTTCCCGGAGGCAAGCGTGCGATGCACTCATTCCAGTGTGAATGACTTGTCGGGCGCTAGCCCCAGCCACTTAGGTAGCATGATGTTAATAAAGTCGAAGAGTGATTGTTGCCCCTCTGCTCCCTCTTTTATGCCGAAGACGCGCAGGTTCTTTCGTCGTCCGCGGTTTTCCAAATCATCTGTTTTGGCTTCAAGAAGTGCGATTCGTTTGATAGCCGAGTTCAGTGACGTTTCTGTTTTCTCAAGTGTGCTTTCAACTTCGGCAATGCGGGCTTCGGCCTCTTCGATATGAGCCCCCTGGTTCAATATGTCTTGCTTTACCTCCGAGACTTTACCCTCCAGTGCAGTCACTGCGCTCGCCATCCCAGTCAGTCTTATATCGATGCTGTCCAACTTGGCTCCAAAATCCGACCGGAGTGATTTGAGTTCATCCGGGGGTCCACTTCATTATTCACCCCTGTGTATCTGGTGTGCTTTGAGAAGTAGGAGAATATGAGTGCACTGGATGTTTAATAAAGTCGGGAGGCTTTGGGGCAAAGGATGTCTTAAGGACAAAAAGATCAGAGAGAAAAGCTGCGGGTTGAGAGGAAATGGGTGAAGGAGACAACAGCAGAGGGAAGAAAGGAGGAGAGAGGTGAGGATGAGCTCCGAATATGTGGCGTCATCTGTATCAGCAGCAAAGCATGACTCAACAAAAACCTCCAAACTGTTTTCGACTTAATGAGGACCAAAGGATTGACGCTGGCTGTGCGTCGATGTGCTCGCTCGCAGGCGATGCGTGCTCCGGCCTCTGCTCTCTGTGTACCATCAGCCTCAAACTGTCA